TTAACTTCTCAGGAATTATACTTTCTCAGAAATAGGGCAAAAGTTGTTCTGGACTGTGTCATTTTTATTGTCATACTCCATGCTCGGACTCAATTGAAGCCTGCTTCTTTAGACACTTATGTCTTTTGGCACTTGTTCCTAAAATTGTTTCTTCAATCAGTCCATATAAAAGAATTAAATCCCTGTGATTAGAGGTTTAAATTCTAGTGTTTTTCACTGAGTTCACAGGGTGTTGGCTGTTCTCTTGATTGACTTGGTAGTGCTGTCTCTGTTGAGATTCTGTTTTCTGTAGTCTGGAGCCATTTACTCCTGTCTTACCTACTTTATTTCTTATATGCATATGACTTTATTCATATCTTGGCTTGATTTCATTTTTTTTTTTGCATTACAATAAAAATATTTAAAAAGAAATAAAGTCACAAAATAAAAAAAATATTCAAAGTTAAGTGTAGAACTGGATATTATATACATACTGTAATGTGGTTTTTGTTCAGCATATTTATTTTGATATGCATTTTAAAATAAGCATTATTTCATGATTTAAGTGATTATTGAACCTACAGTGAGTTATGTTATAATTTTAAGATAAATACGAGCAGCAACTACAGGACAAGCAAGGGATAGTAGTGTTCAGATTAATGAGGTATCTTCATTTAATTTGTGCTTCATCCCTATTTGCCATGTTTCTTGTGAGTTTCTTCCATTTCTTCTAGTTCTCACACACTGACTGAAAGAGATTCCATTCTTTTTGTCACCCCAATTTGTGTCCTAGGAGCCAGAGGTGGGTTTCTACCAGTTTGGACTGGTTTGGTAGAATTGGTTGTTATGATTCTCCATAGTTTGGAGAACTGGTAAATCGGGCCTCTGGCTAACTCCGCCCCTCTCTGTTGCTTCTCCGTTCCCTGCCCAGTCAGGCCCTGTTGCACATGCGCAACATCGTGCGCATGCACAACATGCCTACAGCCTGCTTTTGCCCACCTGCTAGGCCAGCCATTGCTGCCTGCCTTTCACTGCAGCCCTGCCTGATCTGATGATCTCTCTGGGTGAGTGAAGTTCTGCAAGCCCGGTTGCGCTTCCCCCACCACCACCACTTGTCTTTTGTTTTGCCCCTTCCCCCCAACTTATGTTTTGCCGCCGCTGCCAGTCACCTTTCCTCCCCACACCACCACTTGCCTTCCACTGGGGAACACATGGAGAGGCTCCTGTTGGCTCTGGCCAGGTCAGAGGCTGCTTCTCTCTCCTGCTGCTCCAGCTGTGAGAGTGAGAGAGTCTTTCCTGGCACAGCAAAAAGCTTGCAAATCCCCCTCCCTTTAGGAAACTGCTCCTGGGCAGTAGAAAATCAGCCCAATTGAATCCTGTTTCTCTCTGTTGCCCAGGAGCCTTTCCCGAAGAGAGGGGGACTTGTAAGCTTTTTGCTCTGCCGGGAGAAGCTCTCTTGCTTCCCAGCAAGAACAGGTGAGACAAGTAGCCTCTGACCTGGCCAGAGCTGACATGAGCCTCTCCATTGTTCCTTCCAGCTGAGTTAGGCTAATCCTAACCCCAACTGAGCAGCCCTGATCTGCTTTCTCACAGGTAAGCCTATGAGTCATGCTAGCCTCTCCCCCACTGTTCCCAGACCCTGCGGGTGCCCCCACCATCTCTGGACCGTACTGCCCCCCCACCATTACTGGGCTAGGCTGGCTGGCTTCCCCATAGCATAGCTCCATCCTGGCGGTGGTGCTGGCTGGAGCTTAGCTAGCTGGCTTGGCTGGATGGCTTTCCCACTGATGCGGCCCCATCCTGGAACCCCCACAATCTCTGGACCTTACTAGGCCCACCTGCCATCCCCAGGCTAGGCTGGCTGGCTTCCCCAACAGCACAGGCCCATCCAGGCAGTGGCGTTGGCTAGGGCCTAGCTAGCTGTCCCCCCCACCATTTCCTGGCTTGGCTGGTTGGCTTCCCCACCGGTGTGGCCCCATCCCGGCACTGGCAATGGCCGGGGTTTAGCTAGCTCCCTCCCACTGTTCCTGGGCTAGGCTGGCTGGCTAACCTCACCGAGTCATCCTTGGGCCTCCCAGGGCTTTGCTCAGCTCAGCCTGGGCATTGCCAGGCCTCTCCCACCTTGCACCCATCCTGGACTTCCTCCTGCCTGGCCACCAGCTTCTTGACATGAGCAGAGGCTGCTGGTTGGAGCTGGGCTCCCGCAGCAGTGAGTGCCAAGAACATAGCTAGAATTGGAAGAGGCTGCACATCTCTGGTGGAAAGAACCAGAGGTTCTTGATGTGAGAGCAGCCACCACCTCACTTGCACCTTCTCATCCAATCTGCCAGGTGTTGTCCTGGTTCTTTCCACCACAGCTGTACAGCCTTTTATTCCAATTCTAGCTTTGCCATTGGCACTCGCCACCGCTGGAGCCCAGCACTGTGGTTCCCCTTGCTCCAACCAGCAGACTTTGCTTGCGTCAAGAAGCTGGCAGCCAGGTGGGAGGAGGCCAAGGTGGAGCACCATTTCCAGGCCAGTCTGGCTGGCAGATGGACAAGCAGGCAGCCCTCAGAGAAGAGCACTGCATTGGTTGATGCGGTGATGGCAGCAGCTGGAGCATGCCATGTTCGTTTGCTTTCTCTGCTGTGCTAGGGCTGAGAGGGGCAGCGGAGGTGCCCTGAAATGGAAGGTGGGAATTCCTGGGGTTGCTTCCTGCTGCTGAGCCACCACCACCCGCCACCCTGACATGTTGCTCTGAAAGGGAGGGTGGGTAGATGTCCTGGGGCTGCTGCTTTCTTTGTTCTCCTGCCACCTGAGCTCTGGAGCTCGCCGGATCAGTTCATCCTAGACCAGGTGTGTGTGTGTCATGAGAGAGAGTGTGGTGTGTGTGTGTGTGTGTGAGAGAGAGAGAGAGAGAGAGAGAGAGAGAGAGGGAGAGAGAGAGAGAGAGAGAGAGAGAGAGAGAGAGAGAGAGAGAGAGAGAAGGAAGAGCAAGAAAGAAAAAGCAAGAAAGAAAGAGCAAGAAAGAAAGAGGGAGAGCAAGAAATAAAGAAAGAGAAAGAAAGAAAAAGAAATAGGAAGAAAGAAAGAGAAAGTAATGAAGGAAGGGGGAGAGAGAGAACTCTGTACTATTATTTTTAATTGTTCTATTATTTATCATATATTAATGTTTTACACTGTCCCTACACCTAGAGTGATTTTATTGCCTTTCTTTTGCCCACATATTTTTCAGGGTTTACATGTCTATAGTCCAGAGCATAAATACATGTGTTTTTAACAGAGTTGAAAGGGACTATGGAGGTCTTCTAGTCCAACCCCCTGCTCAGGCAGGAAAACTGAGGATGCCAAACTCTGAGCAGAGGTCCTGGGAAAGGTGTCAGAATAACAGAATAACTCTTAGAAGGGACCTTGGGGGGAACCCTATACCATTTCATGTGGTCATGTGACTGAGTGGATGGGGCCAGGTGACCATGTGATTGGCAAACTAAATACAAGTGGTCCTCGCTTAATGGCCAATTGCTTAGCAAGTGTTCTAATTTATTATGGATCTCCCCAGAGCTACTAGACCTGTTTTTGGAATTTTGACAGACATGCAACACACACACACACACACACACACACACACACACATCCTTCTAATTCTGCTATTCTATGATTCTGTAAGGAACTCCTGCTGGAGCAGGGGGTTGGACTAGACGATGACCTCCAAGATCCCTTCCAGCCCAGCCCTAGATTGCTGTGCTGTTTCAAAGAGTCTTTTGAAGCCAGGATTTGTGTCCTTCCTTCCTCTTCTTTTTTCCTCTCTCCCCCTTCCTCCCTCCCTCCCTCTTTCCATCTATCTATCTATCTATCTATCTATCTATCTATCTATCTATCTATCTATCTATCTATCTATCTATCTATCTATCTATCTATCATTCACTCATTCATTCACTTTCTCCCTCCCTTTCTTTCTCTCTCTCTTTTTCATTTTTTCTGCCCCTTCCTTCCATCCCCCTTTCTTTGTCTATCCCTTTTCTTCCTTTCTCTTTCTTTCTCTTTCTCTTTCTCTTTCTCTTTCCCTTTTTCTTTTTTCCCTTTTCTCTTTCTTTTTTCTTGTATCTTCCTTCTCTCTTTCTCTTTCTCTCCCTCCCTCTCCCTCTTTCTTTCTCTCTTTCTCTCGTTTTCTTTTTTCTCTCTCTTTCTATCCCTTCCCTTCCTCCTTCCTTCTCTCCTTCTAAAGCTAAGAGACCTACCTGAAATAAACACACACACACACACACACACACATACACACACAAAATTCCAACTAACTACTTCCCAAGCACCCAGCAGCATCACTCGCCTACCAGGAAACCCCACAGCAGAGAGAAAAGTGATGAGAGTTCTTCTAGGCCACACTCCCAAGGACTTGGTGCAAATGGGCAATCATGACTGATCCTGTTTGCACCTGGTCCCATGTTGCCTGGAAAGGCTGGCAGGCAAGGCTTCCAGGTCCAAAAAGGGGCTGTGGGTGGGACTTCCTCCTCTCCCTCTTTTGGGGAGATTTTTAAAAAAAGAACTGGGAAGATGTGCGCTGCAGCCTCGCCCACCCCACCAACAGCTTGGGCTAGGCAGTGGTTCGTCTTTCCTGGCTGCCTGAAAGTTTATCTTCCTCTGCGGCTGGTGGCAGAGGAAAAGGCAAGCCAGCCAGGTCAGAGCCATCACAACTCAGCTCCTCACCAGCCTGCATCTCACCCCCTGCCCAGATTATCTGGAAGCTGCTGGAGCTCACTTGCCAGGAGGTACGAGGGCAGGAGGCAACCAGGAAGCACAAGGCTACGCCACTCGCATCGCCCCTCTGCCAGCCATCCCTCCCTCACCGGGCCAAGCATTTTGGCAGAGTGCAGGCTGCCACTGTGAGAACAGTGCAAGCTCCATGGGATGAAAGGTGTGGCTAATGGCAGGGAAGGAAGATCCACTTTGGCAAGGTTTGACTACCTTTCAGTCTCTGCTTTGGGCTGCCGCCTGCTGGATCTCTGCCCTGCCTTGGGTCCTGCATCAGCCCACAACAAGGGAACATGCCACTTCCAGGTCAGCCTGGCCGATGGATGGGCGAGCTGATGACCCTTGGTGGAGGAATTTTCTCTCAGGCCTCCAACATGGAAGGCCCTGCAGAAGCTGAAGATGAGCCCGAAAGGCATCCGAGCCTTGCCATGTTCTTCCCAGGCAGCCCTTTGGCTGAATGCAGCAAACCCAGTGTGGATCTTCCTTCTTCACCATCAGCATTAGGAGCTTGCTTGTGCTGTTCTCATAGTGGCTACCCGCACTTGCCCAAAGCACAGGGTTCGGCAGGTGGTAAAGGGAAGGGGTGGCAGGCAAAGGGGCAGTCATGCTCCCTGCCCCTGTCCCCAGCAGTCAAGGCCCAGAAGCTGTGGAGAATTCAGGGACGAGATACAGGTTGGTTGGGACCCAAGTGGCAAGGGTTCAGCCCTGGCTCACCTTCCTCTCTGCCATCAGCAAACAAAGCAAGCTGGAGGCTGGGGATAGTGGTGGGGGAAGCCAGCTTGGATGCGAGCTCTGAGGATGGTGGTAGCGGACTAGGCTGGCCTGGAAGTTGGGACTCAACCGGGATTGTGGTGGTGGCAGTGGTGAGGGCAGCAGCAATGGCATGGTGGTGCCAGCCTAGGCCTGCCCTGGACTGGAATCAGGAGTCAACCGGGGTTTGTGGCAGCAGTGGTGGTGAAGGCGGTGGTGGTGAATGCGGTGGTGGCAGCATGATGGTGGTGGCCTAGGCTGGCCCAGGAGTCAGGACTCAACCAGGGCTTGTGGCAGGGGTGGCAAGTAGGCGACCAGGGCTTGCAGAGCCTCACTCACCCAGGGAGATCACATCAGGCAGGTCCTTGGCGGAAGGCAGACAGCGATGACTGGCGGGCAGGCGGGCAGGCAAAGGCAGACTACAGGCAGCGATGGCAATGGACAAGGTAAGGAGGGGCAGGGTAGGCAGGCAGGGGCAGTCAGTGGTGCAATTTGCTGGTTCTCCAAACTGCGCAGAGTCATAACAACTGGTTCTATAGAACCAGTTCGAACTGGTAGAATCCCACCCTTGCTTTAACATTTAAAAATGACTGAATCTTTCTCTGCTTTTTTTTGTTTTTTTGCTAATTTTCTGGATACAATGGAATATTTGTGTCAGCCTTCCCATACAAATAAGACTTTCTGCAAGATAATTTGGCAAGTCTGAAGGTACAAACTTCCTGCTTTTAGCCATCTGATCAATTACAGCAGGTCCTTCCTGAGTTTCTTTTTCTGACTGTTAAACTAATGGGTACTTCTCTCTCTTTCTTGTCTGATTGTTTCCCAGGCTACATCTCTTTCCCTCATTCCCACATTCCATTACAATTTCCGATGGCATATCATCTGCACTTTCTCTAGCAGTAAAAATAACCATCATCACAACCTCATTTATACTGTCATCATTTAATGATGACAATCCGCAGTTGAAAAACTCAGAGAGAATCAGATGCTCTCAAACTGAACCATATGTAATATAATGCTTTGGAATGGGGCTCTATTCTGTCAATAAATATAATGTTACTAATAACTACATAACAACAATTCGATCATTTCCTTAACATATGTGAAGGATGGAAAGGAACTCATACAGTTTCAAATGCAGGCTACTTCCATTTGCTCAATGCACTGATTTTCTAATTGAGCAGTCTAATGTCAAAGAAGCAGTCCAAACTTAAAGATATGAAACCCAGAATATTAGAGTCAGATTGGACCTTAGCTTGAAGTCTCCATGATATCTATTGTGATCTCAAAGAAATCCCTCAGAATCAGTGCCGCAATAAGATGAGTGGTATATAAATTTAACAAATAAAGAAATAAATACTTCAGGCAATCTTATCACTTTAACAAAATAAGCACCTTAATTCATTCCTTCAAACTGAAGTATACGTTGATATCCTACCTCCAATATCTGAGAAGTTTAACATATTTCATATCAATACTCTTTATTTTTGTAACTGATCTGATCAAAGTGTTAAAGAGGTAGCTGTCCAATAGCAGTTATATACTTGGTCATAGACCTTCACATTATTGAAAAGTGAAAAAATAAAATAAAAAATGGAATGATATAATCATGAAGTTTATTTTAATTAAAATTAGATATATATATATTTTTAAAAAAACCATACTCCCATTTATTTAACTTTTATTTCCCAAAGGTAATTTTTTTTTTTTAATAATTTGCAATTATAAAGCATAGTGTACCCCCTTGTATTCACCTCTGGAGAAAGAAGCTAATTAGATATTCCCCCATAGGAACTCTGCATATATACAAAGAAAGCTTCATATCTGGTTAATTGTTGATGATTCTTATCTCATTTATTTGTGCTTTTTCTGGAAGGAAAATAAAACTAAATACAAATTTATTTTTATTCATTTGAAAGAGAAATGGCCTTTTAAATCCAGCTACAATGAAACCTATTGTATCATTGAGGAAAAAAAATGAGATATTGGAAATAAAGATGCCCATAATTGTCTGCTCAGCCTACAAATGTATGCCTAACTTTGAAGTTCCATGATGGATGATTCACTTTGGTGTTACATTGTACTGAATGGAAGAAAACACAATTGCAAATACCAGGAAAATTAGGTCTGGACAAGGCAAAACAATGTGACATAAAATAATTATAAATGGATATAATAAACCTTAAATGGATTATATGATTAAAAGAGTTCTGAAGAACTTAGCTCCTGAAATATCGGACTGGATAAAGCATTTGCATTTTTATATTTGTCATGACTACTCCATTTAAGGTATACAGTTTTTTTCTCTCTTTCCTACAAAGCACTATTTTAGAAATACTGCATGCATGATGTATATATGTCTGGCTGTATGTGTATTGTGTGTGTGTGTGTGTGTGTGTGTGTGTGTGTGTTTGTCATGACTACTCCATTGAAGGTATACAGCTTTTCCCCCTCTTCCCCATAAAATGCTATTTTGGGGATAGATAGATAGATAGATAGATAGATAGATAGATAGATAGATAGATAGATAGATAGATGTGTGTGTGTGTGTGTGTGTGTGTGTGTGTGCACGCATGTGCAGGCACGATTATTTTCAGCAAGAACTATCTGAACATGCAGTTAGTGGAAATTATAGATTATTTACAGTATATGAAAATTAACTGAATTACTAAATGGTACTGAAAAATAATCTGGAAGGATAAAAATCCATGTTATGGTATCACATTCTAAATTTGAAAACTATAATATCAAAGCAATGAAAACTCAACTGAAGAAAATTATTGAGGGCCTCATCAGCATTATGGTTGCCCTCAAAGGGCCAGTTGCATATAAGACTATGTATCATATTAGTTCAAGTGTGCATTATGTCTAAGTCTCAGTAGGATGCTGTAAGTCTGGATCTTTGGGGGTATAAGGAGGCTGTGGATCATGTGAAAGTGTAGTGGTCAGTCTCTCCCAGCAGGCAGGTCATGTGATGGGATGCTAAGTGAGTGGTTGGCCCTTCTCTCTTTCCTCTCTCTCTCTCTTGCACTACCTCCTGTGTTCTCCTTCCTCTGCTCCTTTGTTGATTCCTCATACCTCCCATTCGCTCAAGCACTTCTCTCACTTGGCTTGCCCCATAGAAGCCTCTCCTTTCCTCCCTATTGCCTTCTGTCCCTCTTACTCCTCTCCTTTTCTTGCCAAATCTCCCTCTTTTTATCTCCTCTCTCTCCAACTTCCTCCTCTTTTTCTCTCTTCCAGATATATCACTTTCTGGGCCTCACAGCTTCAGCATCCATCACTGTTCCAGCCCCCCCCCCCCATGCAGTCACCCAGTGCCCAACTGGCCTTTGCATACAACACTCATTGGCTGGAGCTGCATGTGCTGATTCTGGGGTCTCCATTGAGCCCTGGCAGCTCCACAGTTCCAGCTGACTCCTGTCCCCAAGGCTGGGTGCTGCTGCTGGCAACAGCCAAGACTGCTGGAAATGACAATCAGCTGGAGTCATGTACACTGATCCCAGGGCCTCAGCAGAGTCCCAGCAACACTGCAGCTCCAGCTGATTCTCCCCCAGACCTGTGCAGTGCTGCCACCAATTCATCTCACTCCCCCATTACACACACAATCCAATTGCCTTTCACACTTTCTCTTTCTTTCCATCCCTTTCCTTCCCTCACTAGCCATTTGCTCTTAGACAGAGGGCGCTGCTGCCACTGACAAGACACCCCCAAAAAGTGAGGAGGTTATCAGTCAATCATGTCCTCCTACTAGTCTGCTTGCAAGCCAGATCTAAACACATCTTGGGCCCACACATCATCTAAACACATCATGCCCCCCCCCCCACTTGAATTGGATATGTCTAGTTTAGATCAAATATTCAGGTTTTTACTTTTGAAAACTATGAGAGAGACAGAAAACAGATAATTGGGACCTTGTAGGTCATCTAGTCCAACCCCCCGACCAAACACTACACACACTTCAATAAGTAATATTTAGTCTATTTACTCTGCAGATAAATATGAGACTTGTAACTATTACAACTCTTTGCAATGAGATCTATAGACAGAAATTGAAAATCATCTAATTGTAGAAATTTCTTCTTTCCTGCCCTCTTTCCTAGACAGCTATTGCTTGTTCAGCTGCTGTTTTGCTTGTACAAGATGGGGATATAAAGCTAAAAAGGGAGAATGTAACTTATTTCATAATTACTCAGTACTTGTTCACAGTGCAATAATCTCAATGTTCAAAGTTTTGACTTTAATTAAAATAAATTGACTGAACTGATTTACAATCAGAGAAAAGAAAAGATGAGATAAATGCCTTAATAATACTATTCCTAAGGCACATAAAATATTCATAATTAATATTTAGTTCATCATGGGACCAAAAACATCAGATTTTTTATTCATATCATACAGAGATCTCTGTTGATTTTGCTAGAAGGAAGGAAGGTAACAGATAATCAGAGTTGGAAGGGACTTTATAGGTCATCTAGTCCAACCCCCTGCCCAAGCAGGAAACCCTACACCATTTCTGACAAATGGCAGTCCAATCTCTTCTGGAAGGTCTCAAGTGATGGCAATCCCACAACTTCTGAGGGCAAGCTGTTCCATTGGTTGATTGTTCTCACTGTCAGAAAGTTTCTCCTTATTTCCAGGTTGAATCTCTCCTTGTTCAGTTTCTGTCCATTATTCCTTGTCTGGCCTACAGGTGCTTTAGAAAATAGCATGACCCCTTCCTCTCTGTGGCAGCCCCTCAAATATTGGAAGATTGCTATAATGTCTCCCCTGGTCCTTCTCTTCACTAAACTAGCCAAGCCCAGTTCCTGTAACCGTTCTTCATATGTTTTAGTCTCCAGTCCCCTAATTATCCTGGTTGCTCTTCTTTGTACTTTTTCTAGAGTCTCCACATCTTTTTGATAATGTGGTGACGTAAACTGCATACAGTACTCTAGGTGTGGTCAGACAGAGATAGATAGGCAGATAGAGAGATAGAAGAAAGATGAGTTAGAAGTCTATATTTGTTTCTTCTATTGTAATGTAATTTGAAAATAAATGCAACAATATCAATATGATTTGCCATAGTTATTTTATTTCAGGAAGAATTGTTTGAAACTATTGTATTAAAAAATGAGACATATTTCAGTGAATTCATTCTGCTTGGATTTGGAAACCATCAGATGTTCTTCCTAGCGTTCCTTTTCATCTACATTGGAACCATGGTTGGAAACCTACTCATTATTCTATTAATTGCCCTCGATCAACACCTCCAAACTCCCATGTATTTTTTTCTTGGGAGCCTTTCATGTTTGGAGAGCTGCTGCAGCTCAAATATTTTACCACAAATGTTGTCTAACTTTCTTAATGGAAACAACATGATTTCATTTACAGGCTGCTTTGTACAACATTATTTGTTTGGTTCTTTTGTATCTGTGGAATGTTACCTGTTATCTGCAATGTCATATGATAGATATTTAGCTATATGCAAACCGCTACATTATGTCACCATGATGAATGGCAGAACTTGTTTCAGATTGATAGCGTTCTCTTGGATTAATGGTTTTATGGCAACAGCAGTAACCCAGTTTATCATGTCTCAATCAGCTTTATGTGATAATAAAATAGACCATTTCTTTTGTGACACCTTCCCAATCATAGACCTGTTTTGTGGTGATACCCATGCCTTCAAACTCTTTCTCTATATTTTAAGTTCAATATTTACTTTTCCACCATCTATACTAACTTTAACCTCATATGGTTTCATCATTTTAACCATAGTAAGGATGTCATCTAGCAGAGGAAAGCAAAAGGCATTTTCCACCTGTTCTTCTCATCTCTTGGTAGTCACTATTTTTTATGGCACATTGATGAGTATCTATGCAATACCAAACACCATAAAAGTAAGTGGTCTTCATAAAGTGTTATCTGTTATTTATACCATCCTAACCCCCATGCTTAATCCAATAATATATACACTGAGAAACAAAGAGGTGAAAAATGCCTTCCAAAGATTTTGTGTCAATCTTCTTTCTCCAAATTTATAGAAAAATCAGATATGCAAACATTTGAATGTGCCATTTTCATGCCATTCTACAGATAGGATTTCATCTTGCATTTTCACAATGTTAGTACTAGTTTTCATTTTTGGCTTGTCACTATGATAAAACTGTTGGGGGTAATTTTGTGTATGCATAAAATAGTAATTAAGTAGGATTTCAATGAATATGCTGAATTGATTTAAATTTAACATACTTTGGAATATATTCAAAGCTCTTTATTATTATTAAAACAAATGATGGTGATTGTATTTTAGTTATCTCTCTCTCTCTCTCTCTCTCTCTCTCTCTCTTTCTCTCTCTCTGTGTCTCTCTGTCTCTCTGTCTGACACACTCCCCGTCCCCTCCCTCTCCCCCCCGTATGTGTGTGTGTTTGTATATGCAAACACTCTCTCAAGATGACTGATTAAATGATGACCCATTTTCTTCTCTCTTAGAAACCAAGGATATTTTAAGAATTTTGGCCAGTTTCTATCATCCTTTCAGGAATATTTAAATATATCTATCTAACAACCTGGGATAAACCAGCATAGTAAATGTTAGTCCACAATTTTCAAAGAAGAATAGATATTCAATAGATTACATGGGGATGATAATAATACATGTTTTCTGAAGTTTTAATGTGTGAGATTCTTTCTATAAAGATTTTACCATTCCTCAGTATAAGTAGAAATAATATAACAATTTAATTAAGGTTTGAATTTACAGATTATGAAGAACAGCAGAAGGAAAATTGAATAGAATTGGTATTGAATATTATTAGCAAATATCGTTGGAGAAATTGGAGATTTAAACAAAAACCCAATTATTATGGATGGCATACAGAAATATTGTTTACTTGGAAGAGCATGTCGGGCATAAATTATATTGTATCCTGTTGGATGCCTATGTATTTTTCACAAATAATAAATTAACATAATTTAACAATAAATTATAAATTTATCTTGCCCCAAAAGGAGATAATTCTTATATTCAGATAAAAATATATTGCTGCTTATTTATAGTTAGCCTCCTAATTTGGGTTGGCATGTTTCAGTAATAAGATGGGAGTAATACAGTTGATTTATAAATTATATAAAGAGATCCCAGTTTTATGATTTCTTCCAAGGAATTAAAAGCTGAAGACAATTTTCAATTCAATTTTCCTAAAAGCTGATTAAAATTAATCTGAATAAAATAATCCTATTCACCATAAATACAATACCATGTAGAAATCCCATTTAAATTTAGGTGTAATGATTAAGGTGCTGGCCTAGAAACCAGAAGATTAAATTATGAGTTCTAGTCCTGCCTTAGATATGAAAGTCCTCTGGGTGATCTTGGGCTAATCATTCTCTCTCAGCTCAGGTTGTTGTTGTGAGAAAGAATAGGGCAAGGAAAGAGAATTGTGTATGTTTTTTGCCTTGAGTTACTTATAAAAATAATAAAAGAAAGATTTAAAACAACCTAATAAATAAAAATATTAAAAAAAACAGCTTTAGGAAGAAAAAAACCCTCAAATGAAGTTATTAACTTTTTACTTAAAAATAGGATGTTTTAACCAGAGCTATCAAAATTTCTGAAAGCTCTCAAAATATTGTAGAAATTGCTGTCCATCAGTAGCTGTAGAAGAAAGATTAAAAAACAAAAGTAGTATGAAATGGTTGCCTTACTGAAAAAAATAATTAATTAAAGTAATTACTTTAGTAATTTTAATAAAAACTAAACTAAAGCAAAGCAAATAAAACTGTCTCATATTTTACATTTTACATATTTTACAAACTTTTGTAAATTCTTAATTTACAAAATATTCTGCCTTGTGGACCAAACATCTAATATTATATGACATGTTGCAGAATTCTTTCTGCCTGCTTAAAGAACAATGTAACAATTTACATTCCTATTAACAGTTATGTTACCCAGTTTTATTTGAAATTATAATGCTGTTTGAATTTTTTGTTAAATTTCTTAATTTGATTTTTGGGTAGTAATAATAACTCTGAATGTATATATGATTCTAATAATTTTGTTATCTAATGCATATAAAATACATAAAAGTATGGCATTATTTGAGTATGATTTTTAAAATAAAAAACAGTCTTTTATGTTTTATCACAAGTATATTTTGTTTTTAATGGTTATTTTTAAGTGCTTTGTTTTTACTGTAAATTGGATACTGGATTTGTGGGTTTCTAGCAGACATCATTATGTTGGTTATAATATCCAAGTTAGTTTTTTGTAATAATAGAATTGAATTATTTTTCTGTGATATAGTTCTATATTTAACCCCAACCTCTTACACTTTCATCACTGTAGCTATAATGAGAATGCCTTTTACTCTAGGGAAACAAAAGGCATTTTCCACTTGTTCTTGTCATATCTTGGTAATTACTATTTTCTATGGGAAATTATATATGCAAGAGTATATTGATGAGGAAAGAGTTAAGCAGTACTTACAGAATGCTAATTTACCTCAGATACCTAAAGAGACTGAAAAAATGTTAGAAAGCAATATAACGATGATGGAGTTAACTGAAGCACTCAAGAAGCAAAATAATGGAAAGGCACCAGGCCCAGATGGACTTCCGGCAGAATTTTATAAAACATTACAAGAATCATTGAATCTTCCATTGCTAGAAGTTATGAATGAAGTTATGTATATGAAAGAAGAAGATACCTAAATCATGGTCAGAAGCCTATATTACACTTATTCCAAAAGAGGAGTCTGACCCATTACAAATTAAGAACTATAGACCCATTTCTCTACTAAATGCAGATTATAAAATCTTTGCTACAATATTGGCAGAAAGACTTAAAAAATATTTAAATAATTTTATCCATCCTGATCAAAATGGATTTCTGCCAAAGAGACAAATTAAAGACAATATGAGAGTAAGCTTGGACACTTTGGAATACTACGAGGCACATCCTGAAAAACAAATGGCTCTGATATTTCTAGATGCACAGAAGGCATTTGATAATGTGAATTGGCAATTCATGTTATTACTGTTGGAACAGATGGGTTTTGCTAGAAAATTTATTGAAGCAATAGAAGCTATATACTATAAGCAAACGGCAAAGGTAATGATACAGGGAGAACTGACAGACTCTATTAATATAAGAAAAGGAACAAGACAAGGGTGCCTACTATTACCTTTGTTGTTTGTGTTAACTTTGGAAGTGTTAAACAGAAATATTAGAGATGAAAAGAATATAAAAGGAATGAAAATCAAAAAGGAAGAATTTAAACTGCAAGCATTTGCGGATGATCTGGTTTTCATCTTAGAAGACCCTTTAGAAACAGCATCAAAATTGATAGAAAAGATAGAGACATATGGAAAGGTGGCTGGTTTGAAAAGATAAGACAAAGATTTTGACAAAGAATATGCTATTAAGATAAAAGGAAGAACTGCCAGATCTATTGAAAATTCAGGTCATGAATAAGATCAAGTACTTGGGGATATATTTGACAGCAAGATGTAGTACATTAAAAGAGAATAATTATATTAAACTTAAACAGCAGATAGGGCTAGATTTGGCAAAATGGGGAAACTTACAACTGTCACTAATAGGGAGAATTTCAACAATCAAGATGAATATATTATCCAGAATTTTATATTTGTTTCAAACAATTCCAATTAGGCTTGGAAAAGACTACTTTGAAGATTTAAATAAAATTGTGTTGAAATATATATGGCAAGGTAAGAAAGCGAGAATAAAGTTAAAACTTTTGCAAGATGCTAGAATTAGAGGAGGATTTGGTTTGCCTAATTGGGAGTTGTACTACCAAGCTACAAATCTGATGAGGGTTAAGGAATGGATAACACTAAGAAATACTAGATTGTTGACATTAGAAGGAAATGATTTGTGGTTGGGGTGGCATGCTTTTTTATGGTACAAAGGAACTAAAACACAGGGGTATTTTAGAAGACATTATACACGGGAGTCTCTGTGGTTAAACTGGGAGAAGATTAAAAGACAAAGTTATTTGAAAATTCCAGTCTGGTTATCAACTATTGAAGCATTTTCGTATCCTATAATATACAAAAAGGAACAAACAGTTAGATATGGTGAAATATTGAATGAAAAGGGTGAACTTAAATCTATGCAAAAACTAGAGGAACAAGGTATAAAGATTAATTGGTTTTCATATGCGCAAATACGCTCAAGGTATGATAAAGATTCTAAAAAAGAAGGTTTCTATGATAAATTGACTGATTTAGATAAGATTTTGACAGGTACTGATGAAAAGGTGATAAAAAAATTGTATGGATATTTATTAGAAATTAAACTAGAAGAAGAACAAGTTAAAGAAACTATGATTGCTTGGGGGAAAATTTTTGGATATGGGATTGATTTAGAGAAATGGCAAAAATTGTGGTCTCTAAATTATAAAATGACAATGTTAACAGCATATAAAGAAAATTTGTATAAGATGTTTTACAGGTGGCATTTTCCCCTGACAAGAATAGCAAGAATGTTCAAGAATAAATCCGAAAAATGTTAGAAATGTCATTAGACACCTGGCTCATATTACCATATGTGGTGGACTTGTGCGGATGCTAAAAAATACTGGACTAAAATCCACATGTGGTTGGAAAAAATGACAAAAAAACATATAGACTTGAAACCAGAGATATTTTTATTGGGAATTTTACCTGAAATATATAGTAAAGACTTGAAACACCTGATTGTAAATGTATTAACAGCGGCTAGGATTGTATTTGCTAAAAACTGGAAAAATGGGGAAATACCATCATAGGAAGAAATCATTAAGAAAATATTGGAATGTGCTGAAATGAGTAGATTGAGATTTGAAATAAGAGAACAAGAGGATAAACAATTTTATAAAATTTGGGATCTTTTCTATCAATGGTTAGACAATAAAGTACAGTAATGAAATATGTAGACTTTTAGAAAATAATAAATATATAAAGATGTACTTCTTTCTTATTATATCTACAAAATGATTTTAGGATAGATTTGGGATGGTAATATGAACTGTTATA